CTTTTTTTACCTTATGTTTATAGATGTGGGTTTGTATAAAAAAAAAAAAAAAAAAAAAAAAACAAACCCAAAAAAAACCCCAAACACAACAACAACCTGAAACTTTTACCAGTATTTAACAGATCTTACCCTTCTCAAGTCATACTTGGGTAACAGTTGCAGTCTCTCCAGGGGTTTACCAGCTGCGGCATAGACTTAGCTGCAGTCACTTTGAGGTGCACGTGTTCCAGCGTGGCCTTCTCCATGGGCCACAATGCCTTCAGAGAGAGAACTGCTCCAGTGTGGCCTTAACTACAGCCACACTCCCTTCAGAAGTAAACCTGCTCCAACATGGCCTTACCCGTGGCTGCAGTCCCTCCAGGGGTGTACCTGCTCTGCTGCGGGCTTATTCATGGCCACACGTTTTGAAGTGCTCCAGCCTGACCTCATGCACAGCCACTGATGCTTCAAGGTGTACCTTATCCAGCTGGACTTATTCTTGGGCTACAATCCCTTCAAAGGTATACCTGCTGTGGCACAGCGGAACCACAGCCACAGATGCTTTGAGATGTACCTGCTCTGGTGTGGACTTACTCATGGCCACAGATACTTTGGTGTGTCCTGCTCCCATGTGGACTCATCCACAGGTCACAGGTCCTTCGACTCGAGGTCACACTGGAATTCCAGCCTGTCCAGTACAGTGGCACAGAAACAGCAGCGATGCCCTGGCCATCTGCCAGCCCAGGCGCATGGCCATTGCTATTATCAAAATGTTCCCAGGCACAGCACAGTAAGATGATAAGCAGTACAGCAAGCAGCAAGAGCAAAAAGCAGCCACTAATGAGCACTAAACTCTAATATACAGTAAGGCAAGCAAGCCCCATGGCAAGCATAGGAGCCTGTCAATTAATAGCTAAACAGTAATAACAGCTATAAATTCTATCTAGCACATTCCAATCAAATACGTCATTATCTCGAACTCTTTTGAGTCCCATGTTGGGTGCCAAAACAGGACTGTTGTGGTTTAACCCCAGCTGTTAACTGAGCCCCTCACAGCCACTCGCTTGCTCCCTGCTGGTGGGGTGGGGGAGAGAATCAAAAGGGTAAAAGGGAGAAGACTGGTGGGTTGAGATAAAGACAGTTCAATAGGTAAAGCAGAAGCCATGCACAAGCAAAGCAAAACAAGGAATGCATTCACTTCTTCCCATGGGCCGGCAGGTGTTCAGCCATCCCCAGGAAAACAGGGCTCTGTCACATGTCAGTTACTTGGGAAGACAAACACCATCACTCCAAACATCCCCCCCTTCTTTCTTCTTCCCCCAGCTTTATATGCTGAGCATGATGTCATATGGTGTGGGATGTTCCTGGGGTCAGTTGGGGTCAGCTGTCCTGGATGTGCCCCTTCCCAACCTCTTGTGCGCCCCCGGCCTCCTCACTGGTGGGGTGGGGTGAGGTGAGAGGCAGAAAAGGCCTTGGCTCTGTGTAAGTGCTGCTCAGCAGTAACTAAAACATCCCTGTGTTATCAACGCTGTTTTCAGCACAAATCCAAAACATAGCCCCACCAGCTACTATGAGGAAAATTAACTCTATCCCAGCCAAAACCAGCACAAAAATGTTTTCATTAAAGGCTGTAGAACTTATTATTTTTCCCTTCTAATTTTCTTGTGAGAAATACTGCTTAGTCTGATATCTTTCTTGTGGTCTGACCCCACACATAGCTCCTGTTGAACCCTTGCATAATTCTCTCTAAATAACAGTGTTTCCTCTGTACCAAATACGTAACTTCAAATCTTAATTTGTTATAGAATTGTCACTTAGGAGGGGCTTACTCTGTGAATTCTTATTGTGAAATAGTAATTACCATTATACTGGTGTACTTACTGGTTTCGTCATGGTAATTTTTCCCCACAAGGGTTTACTTTGAATTATGTAATGCACTTAGATGTTGGATAAAATTCATTTTATCAGATTTTACTACTCTGCTTCAGAAAAAAATCTTGAAGTCTTGCTGAGTTTGCCATACTGTATTTGGCAAAAATCAAAGTTCAGCAGAGATGTGAAACTTCGGACTGATGCGTTTCAGTTCATCTTCATTCTAGCCTGTCTTTGTAATGACAGCAAAAAGAAGGCATAGCAAATGTGCCTGGTCTGTTTCTTGACGAGTTTCCTAGTGTTGAGATAAAATGGTATAAAAAGCTTATTCACTGAGAGGTGATGTAGCATATAATGTGTTTGCGCTATTTGAGTGCAGTAGATGATGACCTTAACTTTTTTAAATATTATATTCTTTATTAATTAAAACCTAAGCTTTTTGTAGAAGTATATATGATCAAAATTAACCAATCCATTGTAAGACTTCCAGAAGAATTTTGTTCTAATCCATACAACTCAGTCAGAGATCTGTTTTAGTCCCGCAGGTTGGCTTTATGTTCTTTTTTGATAGAAAGACAGTAGATAATCTGCCAAAACCTTTCTATTTAATGTACTGATAGATCATGAAATGCAAAGCGTTTTGGAAATTTTATACCAAAACTAGACATCTTAAAGACTAACCTAAGTTGTTGGAATGTGTGAAGACCTGTTGAGATGGTGTGGTGTTTGCTTGGTTTTTAACCAGCTGTTCTTTTTCCATAGCATTTGCAAATAATTAGAGTACTTCAGAGGCAACCATGCTAGATAACAATTTCGCCCAAAACAAACGTAGAAATTTTGCTTTCTAGGATGTTTTATAGATCTACTGTGTATTATTTTTCTTAATTACCTTTTGCTCCATGTTTTGGATACTTGCTAGGTAAATATTCTCTTTGTAAGGATAAGGATCACATTGAAACAAAGTCGATACCAAGTGCATGGTTTGGAGTGAAGTTCTAGAAAATTCTCACCAAAACTCACCTTTGCTCATGAACGTCTAGGAAATGTGTTTACTTGTGAAGGCAAGATCTCGTGTCTTCAGACAATGCCCTTCTACTGTAGTGTTTAAACCTCTACTTTTTTTTTTTAATGTATCAAGTCATAGAATACATAGAGAGAATCGGTCTGTAAAGAGAAAAGTGGTCTACAACTTTGCATCAATTGCAACTGCTGTATTCAGGCAGCTTCTACCTCTTCATTGTAGTTCTGCCTCTTGGGTAGGCCTGTCCTGAATGTCAGTGAATGGAATGGAGTGGTTGCTGTGAGAAGAAAATATTTATTTGTTCTAACATTTCCTTTCTTTTTTTTTTTTTTTTTCTGTTTAGCTTGTCTGCTCATTTGCAACTTACGTTTACTGGGTTCTTCCATAAAAATGGTATGTTTGCTAATACATTCATTATACTGTCAATTTGTATAGCACCTTTGAAATTACTATAGATCTGTGAGGGGAATATTTGAATATTTTGAATCTCTGCTGTTTGAATGCAGATTTTAACTTATTTAAGTTCAGACTGTCCCATTAGTTACAATACTTTCAATAGTGCTTTAAATGTGTTGTAGTGTAATTGTAATGCTAAGCAGATAAGCCTTCCAGAGTTTTAGTCAAAACAGTGATTTTGAGAAATACTTAGTCATCAGCCATTCAAACTGAAATAGACCTTGAGGAGTTCCTGAAGAAAGTGATTTTATGGGAGTGTGTCTTTGGGGTATTTGAAGCAGTTTAAAAAAAAAAAAAAACAACAACCTTATTCTTCAAAGAGTTAGAAGATTCAGTGTGTTTTAATTTAAAACGGAAGTGGGAGAATAAATTTTATCAGTTGGAACCTAGAAATGAGGCAAAGGCCATGTCAGCAATTAGAAAAGCAACAGAAATAATGTTGTAGTGACTTGCAGTCATTCTATTGTGTCTTTTATGCATGTAAGGCTTTACCTCTCAAAATCGGAATATTGGACTTCCCAGACCAGAATGAAGGGTTCTGTTCCTTTAACGAAAGCAGAAGTGACATGCTTTGTGCTGTATAGGCATGGGTAAATTCACTGTCTTTTTACTTCCCTGAAAAAAAATTAGCTGTTTATCCATTAAAATAAAGTGGTGTTTCTAATTTTTTGGTTAAAAATATTCTGAATATTTAGTCTTTGGATGTAAAAGCTAATACAATTAATGTACCAGGTTTTGTACTTTTTTTTCCTGGAAGTTATGTTCACTCAAAGTATCTTATGCTTAACCAGATCTGTTCAGTAAGATGTTTTAAAGTTAAAGTTGCAGGTGTCTAGATTTCGCAATCACTTCTTTATTAATAAAATGTAATATTCTTTGAGAAAGTTCTTAAAATCTGTATATTAGGAACTTTCTGGAACTTCAAAATACTGCTGGTCTCAATGGGTAGGCATCTTGTTTCTGCTCTCAGGAGCTTCGTCTTATACGTTGCTGTTGTGGTTTAACCCCAGCCAGCAACTGAGCCCCACCCAGCTGCTCACCTACTCACCCCCCATGGGATGGGGAAGAGAATCAAAAGGGTAAAGGGAGAAGACTGGTGGGTTGAGATAAAGACAGTTCAATAGGTAAAGCAGAAGCCGTGTGCGCAAGCAAAGCAAAACGAGGAATGCATTCCCTCCTTCCCATGGGCAGGCGGGTGTTCAGCCATCTCCAGGAAAGCAGAGCTCCATCACGCGTAACAGTGACTTGGGAAGACAAACGTCATCGCTCCAAACATCCTCCCCTTCCTTCTTCTTCCCTCAGCTTTATATGCTGAGCTTGACATCATACGGTGTGGGATGTCCCTGGGGTCAGTTGGGGTCAGCTATCCCGGCCATGTCCCATCCCAGCTTCTTGTTCCCCCCCAGCCGCTCGCTGGTGGGGTGAGGTGAGGTGCAGAAAAGACCTTGGCTCTGTGTAAGCGCTGCTCAGCAGTAACTAAAACATCCTGGTGTTATCAACAATTTTTTCAGCACAAATCCAAAACATATCCCCATACCAGCTGCTATGAGGAAAATTAACTCTATCCCAGCCAAACCCAGCATATTCTTATCGCACGTCATGCTCTGGTCCCACGCTATCCAATATGTCCTCATTAACCACCCACCCCCCTTCTCATCCTTTGATATAATACACAGGGATTGCTTCCTTAGTCTATAGACCACCGCTGTAAAATATCCACAAAACATCCATTGAGTTCATTTAGTCCGTGACTTTGGGCTCCATCTTTTATGGTGATTGCTCAGGACAGGAGAGGTGCTGTGTTTCTGGAGTTACCTGGGCACCAAAGCCAGATCAGGTCGGGTCACTGCTGCACCGAACAGTTGTGTTCAGTATTTAAGCTGGGAATCCACAAGAGATAAGGACCTTTGGAGCAGCTAGTGGCAAGAATAGAGAAGTGTAGAATAAATGTGGAAGAAATGGTATGCTGATGTGTCTTAAATTCAAATATGTTACTTCAAAATCTGGTCCTTCCAGGACAGTATGTAGTAGTAAACGTCATGTATGGAATTTAAAATACTTAGTGGATAGGGTAGTTGTCTGATAGATTTTGCTGACAGACCTTGCTTTTCTTACTGCTTTTTTATTACAGCGTGGTCTTACACAGACAGGGGCTGTAGTAGTTTCTTCAAGACGTTAATTTAGTTGATGAATTTATGTGTGGTTTTGAATGTTTAGATTATGTGATTCTACTGTTAACTATAAAAACCTTTCACTTCAAGAGTGCTACATGTTGTGAGAGCCTGATGGTCATTTGTGCCATAGAAGAGGATATTACTAACATAAGTAATGTTTGCTATAGCAAATATTAAACAAAGGAAATATTTAAATTAATGAAAGTGGCACAATTAATATGCTTATTTGTCTGGATAGAAATTATGTTAGAAACTCTTGGAACTGAGAGAGCGGTGGAGTTTTGGTTGTGGTGTCATGTCTGTCGTCCCCACTCCCCCCCAAGTTTCTGTATTTGCTAAGAGGATTTCTAATGTCTTGTGTTTACAATTTAAAAAACATCCATTTGTTCATAAAACTGGCAGTGTCTCTGAATGAATTACCAGAACACTCTCAACTGAAATACATTAAGCTTGTTGAATGTGGATATAGTGTCAGGAGGAAAGCAAGTGAAGAGGCATGGGTTATGTTGTCTTCACCATGCTGAAGCTTTGCTCTTTAAATATAGAAAATATTTAAATTAATGAAGCAGGTGCAATGAATACGCTTATTTGTCTGGGTAGACATTTTCTGATGTGCATGATGAAGTATGTCACTGAATGTCAGATTTGTTGTGACATGGACTAAGGTGTAGCCATTGTGCTTTTAACTTAACCCCATAATGATATTTGTAAGATTTTTTTAAAAGAGCAGAAATAACTTCTTACAGATTCATTCAGCTTTGGCTGATCATTGTTTTCATACTTTCTTCTACAAACCGTTTTTTAACTAGATACATAATCAACTTTGATCTTTCTGTTATTTTTCCATATGAGGGCACATTTCTAGATTAATATAAATTCAAATGATTAAAGGTTTTCTTACCCTATAGTGAAACTTATTTTGTGAGGCAGTTCTTAATTGGCATTGCTGATCATACTGCTGGTAGGAGCTGTCTTGAAGATACCAGGCTCTAGGAAACCTACAGTGTGGAAACTGTGAAGCCAAGTCTTCTATTCTAGGACTTTTTGTTTGTGTTCTTTCAAGGGTTCTTTAACAGCTATTCTGCATATACTTAACCTTGCATAATCTTTAAGGTGTTTTTTTATGTTGTTTTTTTTTTCCTATCTGATAGCATCTGGATCTTAAGTTTTGATGCAAGCCAGATTACAGGTTTGCAAGCTGTAAAGAAAAAAAAAAGGAAGTAATTTGTCTCATCTGTAATTAGTGTATTCTGACTTTCCTTAAATCTACTCATATCCTTTTTCTCTGCTATAAAAAGGTTTTGGCAATGCCAAAGGTAGCAAGCTTACTTTTCTAAACATTGGAGATCAACTATGCTTTTTAATCTGCTAGTATTAGAATAGTGAGGTACGGTATGTCCTCGAGTTGGAATCTGCAGTAAGTTTGGGGAGAATTAAAACTTAGAATTTGGCTGGAGGTCTTTGTGTCTGGAGGTACCTAAGATTAAAAAGTAATTACAGGTGTATTTACACCGTTGAATAGAACTTCACTTTTTCAGAACTTAAAATATTTTTCTGTTTAGATAAGCCATCACAAAACTCAGAGAATGAACAAAATTCTGTAACCCTGGAAGTACTGCTTGTGAAAGTTTGCCACAAGAAACGAAAGGTAAAAATGATTTGACAAAAGTATTACTATATAGTAAAGCAAAATGTTTACTTGATTCTGGAACATCTATTTAACACTACCATACAACAAGGTAATGGTGGAATGATGCTTCTGTTGAGGTTGAGTCTTTAAATTTAAGAACTAATCTATTTGAATTGTTTTCTGTTGGCTGGGTAAGGGATTCTTCAGAAGCAAATATATATACATATGGGTTTTGCTCTGTTTTGTGAGAAATAACTGGAAGTTTTAAAAAAAGATCCAGCTTTGTTTGTTGAATTTAGTTTGCTTGTAAGTCAGCACCACTCATCGTGAATTTCAGCCACCTCTATTTTTTACTTCAATCTTTTGTATAACGTCAAATTATTAATTCTGTTGTGATGTCCAGAGGCCTAAGTAAACCAGACAATCACAAAATCATAGAAACAGTCTATGCCTTTTAGAATTTAGAAATAAAAAGGAACAAGTTGTAATTGTTTTGAATTCCCCAGTCCTCTGCCAAGTCTTGTCTCTTTCCTTGCTTTTTCTGTAGCTATGGTTTTTACATTGATCATCTCAATTATTGCTGATTTTAGCTGCTATGAATCATAAACAATTTTCATATCTTTTTTAAAACATCTTTGAATTTGCTTGCTGTTTTACTATGTTTCACACCAGTTGGCAAATTATCGTCACAGCTATGGGAATACGGGAGGCTCAGTAATGCATGCTGTAATTTTTAACCAAAAAGGGAAGGATTTGCTGTCAGAACTTTGTATATTTTCCCTAAGAATGTTAAGTTGTTTTGACACGTTTTTAAGAGTTAATACTGTTTCTAGCCAATTTTGTTCCTTGCTATAGTATGGATAAATATGGTAAAAGCAGGAGGTCCTGATGGTTATTTGAAATGTTTTGCTGCAAGTTTCATACTTAGGCCATCTTGCCTTGTTTTTCCAATACTACACAGTGCTCAATGATCTATTTCAGAGATACTGAATATAATAAATCCTAGGTAAGTGGTTCTTTATCTCCCAGGTAACGCAAAGTGCACTTTGTAATATTGGAAGGAGAAGATAGGAAGCCCTTGAAATATATATATAACCAAAACATTTTACTTTCTTTAGGTAAACAGAATTAAATTAGTATTAATGACTGTTCTACAATCTTTCTGAATGCTTCATGTTAGTGTTAATTTAATCACTTAGAGAAAGATGGCTGCTGCCAGAAGTGGTTATAAAATGCCAGTTTTATTTACACTTTCAAATATATGTTTTTACATTTGCAACCTGGGATTGTTATTCCAAATTTTTTTATTTACATCTGTTACAAGGCTTATTTTCAAAAAGATGGCAGGACAAGTACGAATCGTAAGTGATACAAATTTTAACACTTAATGCCTTTACTTTGTATTCCAAAATCCTAAACCTTAGCTTTCTTGTTTTCCTACAGGATGTCAGTTGTCCGATAAGACAGGTTCCTACAGGTAAAAAGCAGGTGCCTTTAAACCCAGACCTCAGCCAAATAAAACCAGGCAACTTCCCATCGCTTGCAGTTTCCAGCAATGAGTTTGAACCAAGCAACAGCCATATGGTGAAGTCTTACTCATTGTTATTCAGAGTAACTCGCCCAGGAAGAAGAGAGTTTAATGGACTGATCAATGGTGAAACTAATGAAAACATTGGTAACTTCGATCTTTAAATATGTTTTTACCAAGTTTTTTCTTGTAGGCGTGTATATGGTTGTCTTGATCTGCAGTGTAGGTCATACTCTGAGAAGGGCCAGTAATAAGTTCAGTGGCTGAACTGGCTTTCATTTCTTTTCAGTCTTATTCAAGATGTGGCTAAAATGCAATTGGTAGCTAGAAACTGTGCTTCTATTTGTGTGTAAATTTAACACCAGTTGTTACTAATGTGTGATGGTGAATGTGTGAGGTAACACTGCTGGGGGGTGAATAAGGTAAGAGAGCTCTGTGGTTGCTGTGACTATCATTAAACCTCCAGCAACACTGGTCACAGCTGACTCAGCTTTAGGTGCTATCATAATCTCTTATCAAAACCAAATGACTAGCCAATATAGAAAATTCCTTAATGTCAAATTTTTAAAAGTTATTTTCTTAATCTTATCAAGACATGTTATGTTACATCACAAATGTTATAGCTTTGAAGAGTGCCTGTAGAATGAAAAACTTTTTCTCACTATTATAGCTACAAGTGGAGGAAGGTCGATACCATATTGTTTATGCTGGCAGATTAATATGACTAAACTATAAATATGTGAACTCAGCTTCATAGTAATCATATTTTAGATAAGTGCTCTTTCCATTGCCATTGAGCTGTTCATTAAATACTGTGTCCTTTTCTGTTGTATGACACATCTGACATAACTCACAGCCAGTTAGATTTTACAGTTGCATAGAAGCTGTTCTATCTTTTGAATTTGAGCTTATATAATAATTGAATACCATATTTCTTATGTACAGATGTCAATGAGGAGCTTCCAGCTAGAAGAAAAAGAAACTCTTCAAATCGTGAAGATGGGGAAAAGACATTTGTAGCACAAATGACGGTATTTGATAAAAACAGGTAATATTATCCAAAATAAATATTGTTTCTGTTATTTGTTAGGAATTTGTTCAATATTAAACTTAAATCTGTTCTTTATTTTCACTGCTTGCTCTCCTTGGCTGCATTCTTAGTTGGTAGTTAGTCAGAGCTTAGCCTTGTTGTCCCTTTTTTTTTTTTTTTTTTTTTAAGTCTACAGGTTTCATAATGCACATTTATAATTTATAGTGAGACCTGTTCAGTGACAGTTGTGATTCCCTTTTGTGAACTTGAGTATTGTCCTGTTAATACGCGTCAGTTTTTTGGTTCCTCGTCAGTTTTTTAAGACTTAATTTCTGTGGTTCTGTTAAAGATCAGTGATAGCATAATTGAAAAGTAAATCAAACAAACTCATAATACATACTTTGTCTCGACAGGCGCTTGCAACTTCTGGATGGGGAATACGAAGTGGCCATGCAGGAAATGGAAGAGTGTCCAATTAGCAAGAAAAGAGCAACATGGGAAACAATACTTGATGGGAAGGTATGGATTGTTTTAGTGGCTGAAAGACCTGTCTTCACTTAAAATGGTCTGGATTAAGGTGGAACACAATTCAAAGTGCAGTCAGTGGCTGTTCCTCTGAAAATGGATTAAATTGAACAGGAAATAGTACTTCTCTTTCAGGATGTATGGACATAAGTTTTAATTTAGCTGTCTCTATGGGAAAGCTTTGGCTACACTAGTTCATTAATACAAGCAGATGCTAACTACTGTAGGTATGGCAGCTGTCTCTTTAAATGGCGTCTGAATTTCTGTCTTATAAAATCAGGCAAATTAAATGTTGGTTATTGTAATAAATTCAAGTTGGATGAATCAAAAGGAACAAACTGCAGAAGCAGAATATTTTGGGGAAAGAAATAGGAACCCAGAGCTTTCATAGGGGTGATCTTACACACATACTTTAAAAGAATGCTGATGAAATTTAGTGATGAAAGGAAGAAGGTGTGTCAGCGTAGGAGAAGTTGTTGTGCGTAGAGAAATTGTTGACTGAGGTGAATCAACACTCAATGATACAGTGAATACAGGTGACTGTATGCACTTACATAGTCACATGTTCCTGTGTCCTGGGAGAGTATCAGTTGTAAGTGACTGAGGAGAAGAATATGGTAATTCTACGTGGTTACAAAGTAGTTGTGTATCAACATGATTATATAATTACGAAAAAAGCAGAGGTGATCCAAAATATGTAGTAAAAATGTAGATAAAAGCTCTATTATCCTGTTCAGTCTTTACCTGGAATACTGCTTCTGGTTCTCTTAAATTGTGTTCAAGAAATTAAAATTAAAAAGCCAGAAACAGCTTTTAGGAAGATCATAGGAGAAGATCCTCCATGTGTAAATGTGCTTAAAAAGACATATAAAATTGCTGTAACTTTGTTAAACAGAGACAGGGATTGGGTTGCTTTCTGTTGTTGGGGGAATGAGAGAGAGGTTTTTCATGCTGGAGGTGCTACCCGAAAGAGAAGAGAAAATAGTCATGGCCAATGTGTTTATCACCTAGAACTGATAAACACATTGTCATTGGCTTTGTGGTTTTGCAATAGTGTTTCTGTAAACTAATGAGGCCTAAATATAATAAAGAGATTTTAAGATGGTATTCTGTGATCTCATTGATAACTTTAGGGTGTGATGCTTGATAACAGGAGTTTGGACTTAGGTTGCTTCTGTTTCTTTATTGCTATTAACCTGATAGGTGAGTGGAATATAAGAACATATCCACAGGAGAATTATTACAATAGCATTTCTACAGCAGACAGTGGTACGGTTTTTAAAGCTTGTGTATTGTGGATTAATATACAGTACTGGACTGCAGAATTAGGAGTAGGTGTGAGTAGAAAGAGAAGTACATTGGCAGCAGGCTGGTGGGTAAGTGCTGTTTTCTTTCTAGTCATGGCCCATGCTGTTTACTATTTAGTGTTTTGCAAAGACCAGTATGTGTGCCACAGTATGTGTACAAAGTGGTTGCTCAGTAATGTGCAGGAAACTGCACAGTCATCTTATTCAGCTTTTTTTAGTATATCTAAATGTGTATGCTTATGTTGAAAACACAAGGACTTCAGGTGATTAAAAACTTACATCTGTCCCTATTTTCTCATGATTGTTTTCGTCCATGGGAAGACACTAACTCTGCCGTTTTATTTTTATTTTCTTCCTCAGAGACTGCCTCCATTTGAAACATTTTCTCAGGGACCTACACTTCAGTTTACTCTTCGTTGGACAGGAGACACAAATGATAAGTCTACAGCTCCTATAGCTAAGCCTCTTGCAACACGAAATTCTGAAAGCCTTCCTCAAGAAAACAAGCCCAATTCTGTTAAACCTACTCAGACTATAGGTAAGCAAAATTTGGTTTTGCTGCTGAATGATCATCTGCTTAGCACTTCTGTGCTTCAGGGTTCTTGACTCACTCAGGTAATCTTAAACATAGGAAAAAGCAAAAATGAATGGGCTTTGTTGTATCCCATATTTTGTACAATTTTTAAGGTAAGTTTAAAAGATAAAAATAGTGGGGTCTTTGAAGTCATGGCAATATTAAAGTGATTTATATACAATGCTCAGAAATCCTGATGCAAAATAAATCGGGAGGAAATCTGTGACTAGAACTTCTAGCTCTTGGAAAACATAGCTGCTACTATGAAATGTGACAAACTGTCTAAAATACTGTACATTACATTGCACGTTTGTGGTGTAAAGGTAACTCAGATTCCTTCAGAACGCTTAATGAACTGATGCTAATCTCTTTGATACATAGTTTGATGTCTAGGCATGGTCCCATGATGGAAGCACTATATGTATATTTTTTTTTTTAATTATTATTATTTAGCTGCATTTTCTGCTTATTTACACAAGTTAACAAAGATTTCTGCTTTTATTCAGTTTGGCAGTCTGAGGTTGTCTAGATAGAATGTAGACTTACAGTTAGTGTCGTCTAAAAAATAATCCTGTGTAGGTAAGATAAAAATGTAGCAAGTCTGCAAACTATTACTACAATGTGAGGTAAGTCTGTATGTGCTATAGTAAATTAATCTGTGTATTATTTAACTAGTTAATTAATGTTTAGACCATTGTAATTTAAAACTAAATGCTTTTTAAGTTTGGAATTTTTCAGCGATCTGAAATGTAACTGGTTTTGTTTCCTTCTGCAAATTTTCCTATACATTCGTTCCAGAAGAGTTTACGTATTGTCAAACTTTGTAATCAGCTTTTGAACTGTTTTATTGTAGCTTTAAATATATATCACATTTAAAGCAGTAGTGGATACACTATTTAAAATGTTTCATGGAAGCATTAAGTAGCATCAGTTAACTTGGTTTTACTTTTTTGCTTGGTTTGTATTTGATGTAGTAGTGGCACTTCTGTGGAGGCTACAGTGAAAATTTAATGTAATTACCATCGTAATCTGATCCACTACTTTGGAGATTACATAATGTCAAAAACATTAATGCAGTCTGCTCATATTCACTGGAAATGTAAAATTACAGTTTTTGTTAACGTATTATATATTTAAACATATTAGTTTAGGAGCTATTGAAACGTCTAGGAACTGCTTGTTCTGCTGTTGCTGTTACTAAAAAGCTTGTCTTGTGAAGCTGCTGAATATAAAGTGATATTTATCCTAAATTTACATAAGTGATTTTAAGCACTAGTTTAGAAAATCTTTGAAATGCCCTTTGATGTTTCTGGAGGTGTATGTTAAAAAAAACAGGTGTGTGTTTCCAGATCAGTTTCTTTATGGGAAGTCTTCTGGAAATATTTCCCTTTACATAAGGTTAGCTAATCAGTATCAGTGCTGGGACTTACCTTGAAAATTTCAATGGATTTGTAAGGTTTGACCCTTAATAAGTTTCAAAGGATGTGTGATAGCACACTTCTTTTTTTTTAATTCATGCATGGTGTAAAAATATTAAGTCACACACTTGCTGTGAGATGTTTTGCAGAAGACTGTAGTATTAAGATATGTGTTTAGATATGAGAAACAACCCCGTGATTTTTTCTTAGAGTTGTTTAGATCTTCTTGCAAAATACTGGGATAGCTGCTGGGGTGGGGGTAACTGATTGTGTACTGCAGTCTAGTTAACTGAAAAACTCCCAAAGTGCTGTAGCTGTACAGCAGATAGCATGTGATTTGATCATAATTATCTCAAGAAATTAAGCTTAATGTAGTTTTTATGTTTTTTAATCACAAATTTGTATTTATTTAGTTCAGTTGCTTAATTACAAGTTTGTTAGGATGCTTCTGAAAACATCTTTCTTCCTTGCTGTCTCAGAGCGTATAGCTCAAAAAAAGCTGCTACTAAAATACTTCCTGACACTAGATAGAAAAGGCACCTTTGACCATTATGTCCTTTTATTTTTTTTTTTTTTTTTTAGCAGTTTCCTGTCTCAGGGTCATATTTAATCTGAAACTCCCCTTTGATTCCTAAGTGGCAGTGGGGGCTGGCCTAGATTGTATCTTTCTTTTGTCTTGCTCACTGTTGTTTGTAATTTTGGCTTGCAATATTGTGTTGGCAGGTAAGGCCTGAGGACAGCTGGGAAAACTTAAATTATACAGAAGGCAACAGGCTGCTCCTGTTGTTTAAACAGTTAGGAACATACCTGGACTCTCAACTGGCACCCAGTTCACTTCAGAGTGATCAGCATTTTCAAGCTTGTAACGAGATTGGGACTGTGTGATTAAAGAAGCTTCTAGGTCCCTATTATAGAAGTAATTATCTGGAGTGCAGTGGTTCTGTCTCCAGACTTAACCTCTGGGGTATATAGCCAGGCGCTGTTTGTAAAGAGTTGCCTTGCTTGGAGTTCTGGGGTTTATCTATGGAAGTGCATCAGAGAATTTGTGCAAAATGGTATTTTTTGTGTTGGATATGTAACTGTGAGGTTTTGGAGCTGTAGTAGTGATAGCAAGGCAATGATTATTACGAAAAAACCCTGCTTTTCCAAATGTGCTTTTTGTGCAATTCTATTGTAGTATATGTTGGGAAACTCGATGGGTCAGTGATAGCTCATCTCTGGTGAGACTTTATAAGAGTAACAATTCTTTTCACTGCTTTTAGAGTCTTAGTGTGTAGGAATACAAATGTTAGGACAAGAAGAATTTTACCCCTACCTGTGCAGAAGCCACTGTCTAGAATGAACCCTAACATCCTCAGCCAACCTACAGACATTTTTGTCCTTGGAAAGAGTACAAGAATATTTAAATAAGACTGATTCCTGTCTTCTGAACTGAATATTTTACCTGAGCTAAGGATTAGAGACACTTAGGTTTCTTAAATCAGGATGAATGGCTGACACTTAATGCACACCAACATGTAGTAATTTCTAACAGAAGAAAGGTAACAGAAGCGGGGAAGTACTTGAACTTTTACTGTAAAAGTTGTTCTGCTTTCTCTTTACTTCCTCATACCAGGTCCCCTTGTATTTTAGAGTTTCTTGGAGACTTTCATTGTAATTTGTTAGGCAGGTTTTATGCTCAGACTTGCAAAAGAAATGTTGGTATGTTGACTAACTCTAGAAGGTGTGTACTAGTTTACTGCATAATAAATACAGAGGCAGTGGGGACGTGGCAAGGCTGCATTGCTAATGCACTGATAGAACCCATTTTTTTTCTTGCCTCAGAGAAGCTAAGTATTCCACTAAATTGGAAAGGTTACAGCAAGAGCCACCTTCCAAAGTAGTGCAGCAGACTGTTAATACAAGAATATATCGTAGCGCAGTGCCCAGCATTGTAGGATATTTGTGACGGTTGTGCTGTTTTCAGTCTCTGAATGCCAAGAAAGGAGGAGAGCGAAAATAGTAGGGAAATTCTATCAGTTAGAGGTTCTGACAGTAAAAGAAAAAGATCCAGTGCGTCTTTCCCAGGGTATATGAATTTGGTGTTGTCATTTTACTTTGGCATGTTTCCCAAGGCAGACCAGTGGGATAAAGATATCAAAGACTTTCTAAACGTGGCAGCTTAAGCTTTGCTGTAATTACAAAGTACTCAAAGTAACTGAGCCATGGAGTTGTAATTTCTCTGATGTGGTGCAGGCTAAAGTGTCAGGCTTCCTCTCTTTGTCATACATAAAGAGGATGAGATTTCCCTTGCTCTCCAAAATATTAAATATGGAGTGCATCTTCTAAAAGAGCTCCTTATGTCAGTAGAGCTGGGACTTGTTTTGCCATCTTTTTCTCCATTCAGAAGCAAGTAGGTGTCATTATTTGGTTTCTCCTGAGGATAGTTTTATAAACCTGCTTAGGTATGTGGGGTTTCTTGTTAATTGTATGGAATCGAATAATCATACTGAGATTAAAATGTACAGAAGAGGCTCAGAGGCGACTGAGTTTGAAGAATAAGATTTAAGGGTTAAAGATTCAGTTAAATATTTGTGTGTTATTTGCGCTTACTGTTTTGTCTGTTGTGTGACTTGGGAAACTTCTGAAATTTAATTTAAGCAATGTATTTCCAGTGCAGCTATCTGAAAGCAGTGTTTCTTTCCTGTTTCCTAGCCACACCTGCTTTTAGCTATACCTAAAGAATTTTCTGTTTGCTTATGTGGAATAAAAAAAATGTTGCTTTTTACCTGACAGTTTTTAAGTTTTCTGAAGGGTTCTCCAAAAGTGGAGATGAATCTGGTGTTTAAAAGTGGTGGGTTTGCCTGTAGATTTGTGAGGGAAGCTGAGCATCAAGACTTCCTTGTTGCTGGTATGAGCTACTTATATCAATAAGTACACTAGAGTAGCCCATTTCCTTCAGCAGCATGCCCTTCTCAGATCCTCATACTTGGGTAAGAAACAGTGTCTCTTTTTTTTTTTTTTTCCCCCCTCTTCACTAAAGAAATGTATGTCTGTATGTGTTTTTCAGCTGTGAAAGAATCGTTGCCGACAGACCTTCAAACAAGAAAAGAGAGAGACGTTTTAAATGAACCCCGACAAAAGTTGCGAATATTTTACCAGGTATTAAAAATAAGCATTAGAGGAAAAAAATAGACTGTAAATATTGCATGGAATTAAAATGTTCAATTCTCTTCTGAGTTGGGTGGAAATTTCCATTTGCCTTTTTAGTGGCTGCCTTAAGGGGTCTCAGACTCACACGTTAAGAGCCGTTCCACATATTTCTTCTTACAGGAAGTATTTTAGAAAGCTAATCTTCCTGCGGGCATGTCTCACATCCCAAAATACAAAGGACATCTCTTGTTAGACATCTGGAGGGGACCAGGTGGTCTCTCTATGGGGAAAAAATTCTTGAAATACCAGTGTTTCAGTATGCTGAGCTGAAGAGGTTTCCTAAAATTATGTCCAACTTTGTTCTGGGGGTTGGGAGGTTAATGAATTAAACTCTTTTGGTGCTAACACTACCTATTCCTTTGTTTGCATCAGTTCCTTTATAACAACAACACAAGACAGCAGACTGAAGCCCGAGATGACTTGCATTGCCCATGGTGCACGCTGAACTGTCGGAAACTGTATAGTTTACTCAAACATCTTAAACTTTGCCACAGCAGATTTATATTTAATTATGTTGTAAGTAGTCTTTTTGTGGTTTAGCACTATGAAACGCTGTACGGTCTGTCACAGATATTACATATGCAGTGATTCTGTTGCTAGCCTGTGAAGTTTTGTAGGACTGTATCTACAGTTAAATGCAGTGAATGTTTGTGTGCTGCATGGGAAAAAAAATAGTGGGGGTTTTTGTTTTTTCTTTTGCTGCTGCTGCTTTTGCATTAATGTATTCTTTTTATGTGATGTAGAAAGCAATGTAATCTACATTTGGTTGGAACTCTCTTGAAGCTTTAGGAAAGCGGTAAACATTTAAAGACAGTATTATATTTACTGATGCTGATAAGGACCTGTGCGTACCAATCTGACCTTAAAGAGAAGTTCTGTCCTATTTATTCGAAGATAATGCAGCTTCCAAAGGCCACTACGCTGCTCAGATTATTATTCCAAAACTTCAGTCCTTAGCTGGTTAGAAATGTTCTAACTTCTAGGGTGCTTGTTAGCCATCTTTTGCTGATATTTTCCTTAATTTTACAATTAGTTCTATTCTGAGTGGTTTTTTATAAAACAGTAAAATGATACACAGCAAGGAAGCTTTAGTGTAATTTGTTTCTAGAGGTTAAAAATTATTTGGGTGTTGTAAAAGGAATAGAGCTATGTCAAGTTGTTGATAGGGTGATGTTTAAGTTATTCAGCATTGAAAAGGTTACTTGTTTAAACCTTCTGATGTATTGTCATTAGTTTGCTAAGTATATTTGCGATTATCTATTTCAGTATCATCCAAAAGGTGCTAGGATAGACGTATCTATCAATGAGTGCTATGATGGCTCCTATGCAGGAAATCCCCAGGATATCCATCGTCAACCTGGATTTGCCTTTAGTCGCAATGGACCGGTCAAAAGAACTCCTATCACACACATACTTGTTTGCAGGTAGAGTGATGGAAAACAAGGTCTATCTGTACTTGTGTAATATAGCATGTGGACCGGATTTCTCAAACCTAGGAACTTGTAAATCTGTGGCTGCACATAGAGAGTGTTAAATTTCACTATCATTAAAGACAGCAGTTTATGATTAAATAAACCATTATTGAAGGATGATAACTTTATCTGTGATTTTTCTACATATTTTCAGTTGAGTCATCTAGTCATAATGATGTAACTTCTTTTAACTGCCTTATCGTAAAACTTTTCTTCCCCAAAAGGTGGAGTGTGGATTGGAACAGGTTGTTGGGATTTTAATGTGTTTTATTTCATTGCTGGTGATTCTCCCCAACCACCCCCAACATTTTTGCAAGCTAGAGCTTAAAAGACTAATTTGTATTAATCAATTACAGTTCTTAATATTTGCGTATTTGATATGATGATTGAAAGCAGTTACTTTTTTTCCTTCTGCTAGGCCAAAGCGTACGAAAGCAAGTATGTCAGAATTTCTTGAATCTGAAGATGGAGAAGTAGAACAGCAACGAACATACAGCAGCGGGCACAATCGGTTATATTTCCACAGTGACACATGTTTACCTCTCCGTCCACAAGAAATGGAAGTAGACAGTGAGGATGAAAAGGACCCCGAATGGCTACGAGAGAAAACCATTACTGTAATTATTCCATTTATACAAAATTATTTTAAATGGATTGTGGTTTTTAAAAGATAGTCTGCAGTTGTTGCAGGGAACAAACAGGGCATTGCGAAAATGATGTATTTACTTTGAAGAATAAGATAATTTTATGATGCTGAAACACTAACGATACAAACTTTGGTTCCATGAATTTCTATTTTCAAGTATGTCTTTTGTTGCAAAGCTTATTCGGTCCACATGGGTCCTACTAAATTTTCATTGTTTGCGGCTGGCTTCCTTCTTCAAAGAGGAGATGCTGGTATCGTAGGAGGATATAGTGTGTATCACATGATATGACTTTTTTCTGTGACCTATTTGACTGCAGTGCCTGAATTTTCAGCAGTAGTTATTTCTGGGATGTATAGGTGGCATAAGTTGAATTTTAGGTGTGGTTTCACTACTTAGCAGACATGCAGTTCTGATGTGTGTGTGTGTGTGTTTTTCTTCTCCTGTCCTTTCTCTCAATCCTTTTATCTCTACAGCAAATTGAAGAATTTTCTGATGTTAACGAAGGAGAGAAAGAAGTGATGAAATTGTGGAATCTTCATGTTATGAAGCACGGGTATGTTATTTTAAACTTAGTTTTGATACAAATAAATTATGATATAGATTTAGTTGACCATTTTGCATTTCAATTCACTAAGCCCTTAAAATTCACTTGGCTCAGTTGTTTAGGAAAGTATCATTAAATTAGGATAATTTAACAAGCTTTTGACTGTTTTAAGTTTTTAAAAAATATTCTTGTGCTTAGAAGCCCTAAGGCTTTGAAAAGAAAAAACATTGCAGATGTTGAGACTGTAATAGGTGGTCCATGCAGTTACATTGATAAACCATGCTGTAAGGTATCTTTTTGGATTTGAAAATGTTCTGCTTGCATAATGATGGCTTTCTAATTTGACAGGTTTATTGCTGACAATCAAATGAATCATGCCTGTATGCTGTTTGTTGAAAATTACGGACAAAAAATAATTAAGAAGAACTTGTGTCGAAACTTTATGCTACATCTGGTCAGCATGCATGACTTTAACCTCATCAGCATAATGTCAATAGACAAAGCTGTTGCCAGGCTCCGAGAGATGCAGCAGAAGTTAGAGAAAGGAGAATCAGCCTCCCCCACAGATGAGGAATCTTCTGAGGAACAAAGTGGGACAACAAATGGATATAGTGAAAATAATATGAGAGAGAGAATTTCAGAAATGGATAGCATCTCAGGTGTCACAAAACAGAGCAAGAAACAAAAGCTCTGAAGTCAAAAGTCAAATGCCATTCAACGGACAAGCATTGAAGTGACATTCTAGGGTGCATGAGCTCTAAAGAATTACACACAAAAATACAGAGATTCCAAACAGGCACTGCTGGATGGAAATAAATGATTTCAACAAGGATATTGTTTTAACAGGGTTTCTATTCAGTTAATTATGCAAGTACTACATGTATATCGGTTTTGGTGATGTAATGACAATATTCTAAGAGTTTGAGCATGAAGAGCAATATGAAAATCTTTTTGTAATTTTAGTAATTAGTGTCTTAAGAACTTTATGGAATTTACATAATTTAAGTATATGTAAAACCGTTTTATATTAAGATTTTTGCATCTGTATCTGGCTGTTTTTCCTGCCATGAAGTTGTGAAACATTGGGGAAAGGGGATTGGGATACAGTTTCTGCTTTTCTTATTTAGAAATTCTCCAGTTTAGCTTTTTGTGAAAATAACGTCTCACTATTTAAAGTTTAACCTTGATCCTTGTATTTGAAATCATTTATCAATTGATCATAAATTACAAATTCATTTTTTGACATGAAAATTATCAAAGTTGGCAAACTTAGCACTTCCTTTGTCTTGTGCCTGTTTGGAAAGATCTTGGCTTTTCATGTTACAGACACAGTCAAGTACCACCTTGGCTTTTTGAGGTTACCAGCAGTTTGGTTTTCGTGGATAATTCTGATGTATTGATCACCCAGTGTACCATTTTAAACTTGAACATTAGCTCCTTTATATTTTTATTACACATTTACACAGCTACACAAACTATTTGATGTAAACCCTTTTTACTGGGGTTCCACATCATAGTGTGCCATGCTAAAGCCGAGAGTCTATAGTCAGTATGTAGGCATTACGTCGATTAACTTCTTTGGAAGTTTATGCCTGCTGTTTTGCCTGAGTACAGACTGCAAGTCCAGGCCATAGGTTTAGCTTTGGCTTTCGAGATGCCACTCTTGAGGGAAAAATGCACTGTAAAATTGGACCAGAAAATGTGTTGCACTTCTTATGCAAGTATTCTGTGATGTATTGTATTCAATACAGATACTAAGATACTGACTAAACTATATTTGAGCAGTTTTGCACTGCTGTTAACACATTTTATGCATACGTTTACAGATTTTTTCCAATGGAAAGTGGTTTCACTACTGGTACAGTATCAGCACCGAAGGGTTTATTCCAGCAAGCACTGTGGTTGAGTGACATCACCTCAATTTTTTTATTATCCTTAAAATATTGCATTTTTCATATTCTTTATTTATAAAGGAACAATGCTGCTGTAAATACAGGTATTTTTAATTTTTTATTTCATTCCATCACCATGAGATGCAGTTCCCTGTTTGTTTAAGGGGTATATAAGCTTTCTAATGGTGTCTTCAGAAATTTATAAAATGTAAATACTGATTTTGATGGTCCTTAAGATGTGTTTAACTGTGAGACTATTTAACTAATGGTGTGGATGTGATTTGTCATCCAGTATTAAGTTCTTAGTCACTGATTTTGTGTACAAAATAGGAAAGAGGGAAACTGCAGCTTTCATTACAAACTTCTTGAATTTGCCAGCTCTCTTGAGTTTTAGCAAACTCTAATTATGCCTCTGGATAGTACATCAAGCATTTCTCTCTGGCTTTAATTTGCTAAAGCTGTGCACATATGTAAAAAAATAGATTATTTTAGGGGAGATGTAGTTCTAGAATTATTGCTTATGTCATTTCTTAAGCAGTTATGCTCTTAATGCTTAAAAGAAGGCTAGCATTGTTTGCACAAAAAGTTGGTGATCCCCCCAAAAATAGTAATGAAATTACTTCTGTCCAGTAAACTTTGTATGTCATGTCAATTTATAATAAAAGCTGAAAAAATCCCTTTGTTTTCTATTTATAAAGATGCCTTTTCTATATGTACCTTTGATAGATTTTGAAGATATCATGTAAGCTGGTTAAAAAGAATTTGAATGGTACAGTAGATGTAAAAACAAAACAAAACCCCAAACAAACAAAAACCAGAACAAGTTCAGTTGTTTAAATGAACCATTGTTTTTACATTAAAATGTTTTATTTGAAATCTGCTTTTGTACATAAAGTTCAGTAATACAAAATCTGCCATGATGGTTGTCCAGTCATTTTGTGTGCATGCAGGAAGGCCACAAGCGGTACCTTGTACAAACTTTCTCTTCTGCATGTCTTGTAGAATTCAGATACGTGTTCTTCCTTTGCCAGGTTAGGTAGCTAAGTTTCTCTCCAGCTTTTTTGTTATATTTAAGGTGTCTCCATAAATTACCAGAGTTTTAGCTAGATTATATAAATTTTCATTCTTTCTAGGGAGTAGAACTGAATACTTGAGATATATGTGTAAGTTGTGTATTACTGCTTAGAACTGTAATTTATATAACTGAAAATGAAACATCACTTGTGTCAGTTGTAAAACTTGTTAAAAGACTTGAGAGTTTTACATGCAAGTGCTTAAATGTTTCAAACAGATTTTACAAGGTACTTGGTTTATTTGGAGCAAAGTTTAAATGGGTATCAGTTTAAAATGGCGCTTCTGTGGGACTGTAGAGGATGGGTACTCCAGGTACTACAGAACAAAATGACTAAGGAATTGCACTGCTTGGCCGAATAATGACTGTCAAATAGCAGACACTGGAAACCTTTTTCCATGTTAAAAAGTAACTCAGATACTGAAATACAGGATATGACAGCTAGATTCTGTAAATTTGACTTCAGACTGCAGTTGTCCAGTATGCTTTTGTCTCTAAAATTGGCAAGGTTCTTCTAATCTAGCTTTTAATATGTTCATGGCAGATTTTTATGATGTTTTGTATTCAGTGAACCCCAGGTTGGAACCTACCATATGACTTGAATATTTAATTCAGTGCATTAAATACTATATTCAAAATTGTTAGATGCATTTAAGTTGTTAACCTTAAGTGTATGTTGCTTTGAGTGTCTTGAATGTAGTCCTTGAATTTTTGGGGAGTGGGGTAAAGAGTCACTGCCTGGAATGAAGTGGTTGCAAATACTTTCAGCTGTTCTCATTACTTCGCTAATCACCAAAACAAAGCCCCCAAACCAGCCATTTGATTTTTACCTTTGAGAATGCAGGAGCCATTCTGTGAGGACAATTTTGCAATATTGCTCAAAGCTAAGTATTTCTTAATTCACAGAACAGTTTGGTGCCATCATCAACCAGTGCTCGAATGAAGGTGTTCCTGTTGGACCAGATCCTGGTTATAAATCTGATACTGCGTGGTTTCACAACTGAGAAAATGAGCTTTGAATGGAGTAGGTAAGTCTGCCTTCTGTGACTCTGGTATCTGCTCTTCTCGTGCTGCTTGATTTGAGACTGAAGATGCACTTTTTGGGAGATGCATTCAGCATCTTACCGTGAAGAAGGTTCTTTGCATGAATGGTGTATTTATGAGAGAAAGCTACCCTGTCAGCCACCTTATTTACTGGTTTCACAAGATTTTTTTTCCTTTAAAAGAGACCAAGGAAATGGAACGGGCCACTTCTTGCTCAGTAATGGTGGCAAAAAATTATGTTGCACCATTTAATGCAACAGTAAGGAGCTAGGAATAGTAAATTAAGAGACAAATTAGCTGTGATGGAATTTTGAGGAAAGTAGTTTACAGGTGCTGTAACTAATTTTTTAAAAAGGAAGATAGTTATTTCTGTAAAAGAGACACATT